CAGTCAGTGCAAACACTGTACTACCAGTCAGTGCAAACACTGTACTACCAGTCAGTGCAAACACTGTACTACCAGTCAGTGCAAACACCTCACTACTTGCCTGTGCTGACAGTGATGTCTTGGTGTCACCAGTGAGTTCTGACACTGATCTACAGATGGCAGGAGCCAATACAGGCACTGAATTTCTCGTGTCACTGCTGTCTTGCCGTCAGTGCAGGCAGTGATTCTATGTCACTAATGGGTGCTGGCTATGACCTTATGATGTCACCGGCCTCATAATGTCACTGATCTTATGACGTCACCAATAAGTGACGGCACTCACCTCACCGATTTCTTGATGTCATTGATAAGAGCTCGCCACTGATATTATGACGCCACCGATTTCTTGATTTCATTGATAAGTGCTGCCACTGATATCGAGATATCACCGATCGGTGCAGCCACTGATATTACGATATCACCAATCGGTGCTAACGGCGAGTGCATGGGACAACAACGCGCGTCTATTAAATACTATTAAATTGATAAGTGCTGCCACTGATATCGAGATATCACCGATCGGTGCAGCCACTGATATTACGATATCACCAATCGGTGCTAACGGCGAGTGCATGGGACAACAACGCGCGTCTATTAAATACTATTAAATTGATAAGTGCTGCCACTGATATCGAGATATCACCGATCGGTGCAGCCACTGATATTACGATATCACCAATCGGTGCTAACGGCGAGTGCATGGGACAACAACGCGCGTCTATTAAATACTATTAAATTGATAAGTGCTGCCACTGATATCGAGATATCACCGATCGGTGCAGCCACTGATATTACGATATCACCAATCGGTGCTAACGGCGAGTGCATGGGACAACAACGCGCGTCTATTAAATACTATTAAATTGATAAGTGCTGCCACTGATATCGAGATATCACCGATCGGTGCAGCCACTGATATTACGATATCACCAATCGGTGCTAACGGCGAGTGCATGGGACAACAACGCGCGTCTATTAAATACTATTAAATTGATAAGTGCTGCCACTGATATCGAGATATCACCGATCGGTGCAGCCACTGATATTACGATATCACCGATCGGTGCTGGGACTGCGTGATTGCGCGTCATGCGCGCGTGGGTGCGTCGTACCTGCTGCGTCGGCCAAGCTCCGTACATCGCGTGGTACTTGGGGCTGAAGAGTCGCTGCACGTACTCAACGATGCCCGTGCCGCGCACGAGGTGGTCTCGCTCCAGCAGCCCCATCACACGCTCCATCTCCTCCTCTTCCCTGATGTCGAGCGGCAGCGACGTGTCCACCTGCCACTGCGGCGGACCCTGCGCGCGAGAAACGATCGCCGCGACGACGGCGGGTGAGGAACGCGTGCATCGAGCGTAATGAACTCGTTCAGCATTTGTTTGAGACTCTCGCAATCAGTGAGATAGTACGACACATTACGTATATAAGTCTAGGTGTAAGTATAATGCGTGCAATTTGTACGTGTGACAGGTTAAATCTCATTAATCTACAAGGAGATGATTCGGCAGCTTTGATAGTTTACAAAGTCGATTTGTATCTGGCAATTATGAGCTTTATTTACTAATCTGCTTATTCTTCGATGGCATGAACACGGATGGAGTGGATGACGGAGCAGGAATTGCAGGAGTAAAAGAGATCACCAGGAATGTCATCATGAATAACCGAGCACATAATGATAACTCGAAAAAAATTTGAACAAGTTTTCACAAGGACCCGTTCTTGAGGCGTCGATCCTCAATGATGTCAGCGATGGTGGGAAGGGATCGGGAGCGTACTTTCGTACCTGGGAAGACTGGGTTGATAGAGCGGCCAATCTCTTGACGCGCGTTGCTACGCGCGGGTAGGCAGGCCTGCGCACCCTCTGCTTGCTGCGTGGGCTCTCAGGTCGACCAGAGGGGTCATCGCTTGCTTTTACGCCTGCACCAAACAGAGCAACGTTGTCACTGTACAGTCATGCTATCTAATGTAGACGTTGCCAGCAAGCGATCAACATACAGGCTCAACAAGCGAGAAGCATGCGCACTTAACAAGCGAACAACATGTAAACGTGAAAAAAATGCACTGACAACGAGCGGCTGGCGCACTTATTAAAAAAACGTGAACATGAACCTTCCACAAGCAAACAGTTGGCAATTTCACCAAGAGATCAACAACACAGACACTGAACAAGAGAACCATATACATGCTTCATGTCTGCCTAATTAAATTACGGAAATATTGGCGGTAATCAACTGGAATGGGATGGGGAAAAAGGGCATCAATAACATAGGTCACAGATTTCCACTACTATGATCTAGTTGATATTGATTGACTTTACACTACTGTTGTGTAGTACATAGCTGAACACCGCCGCAACCCAGATCTAGGCTCCTCGACCTCTACCCGCTAAAAGACAGGTTACCTTTGTTCTTGTTCATCATTGCTTGTAACCGCTCTTGCTTCAGTCGTAACTCCTCTATCTGTTGCCTACAGAAGTAACAGGCCCTCTTGTTGCAAAAACTGTCTAAAACTGGTTCATGTATTAGTTAAATTCAAATACATATTACACTGTATTACTTGGCAAGGAGAAGGTAGCCCACAGTAACAATGTTTACATTAAACACGTTATACACTGTATTCAGCTGTGGCAGGCGGGCCTATGGGATATGTGGTATATGTTACCCGCAATTAACCCATGACCATTCATTTGTTTTGTATTTATTGATTTTGGTTTCGCTTAATTATATGCATGTTGAAAAGCATAACAATCTTATAATTCAGCCCATCTTCACATATGCGCATTGCACAGAGCAAGACACGTTTGTGACATGCATCTGTCGCACATACATATATAGTGCACTGTGTGACATACTAGCTTGTCACATCACCAGACCCAAATTTGGCAAACTTTGCATGAATCCATTAATCTCCTTCATTCCCTCTCGAATAGCTTTACCAAATAGGTTGACATGCACTGGTCTATGCCCATAAATTTATGATCTACTGGAATTTGAATGTAGTACTTATGATTACCTAACTCTATTTTCCTAACGTAGTCATTGACAGTGCATTTTTTGACAGAATCACTGCGAATCAGGCAGTACGCAAGGTTATTATTTATAATTCTCCATAATCTTCCCTTGTGTAGTTATTTCTAACAATATTATTTAGTTGTCGAATGACCTATTCAAATAGTTCCAGCTACAGCAGGCTACGTACGTTATATAACCGAGTTGAGATATGGATATAGGAAGCACTAAATTGACCGAGTTGTAGCGGATTATCACAACCCTTACCTCGCACACTCCTCTCGTGCCTTGGAAGCCGCTGTCTCCTTGGTCAGTGACATGCACTGGTCGAGGAAGCGGTCGTAGTATTCTGTCTTGCCCGGCACGGGGTAAATGCGACGGAAGTTGCTCATGTGCTGGTCCTCATACTCATGCTGTGCTGCCAGGTTCTCCGAAGTGCTATCCTCCATGTCCACCCTGCGAGACACACCGCCAGGAGTATTTTTTCAACAAAAGCTGCAGCACTGCCACGGTCGTAATTAGTGCGCAACCCCAACTATAATAGGATGTAACTGACCTACCGGCTACTGCGCGATTACACACTATTATTACAACCCCTCGTTACATTAATTAGGCACACTATTACAACCCCTCGTTACATTAATTAAGCACATTATTACCTCTCGCTACATTAATTAAGCACACTATTACAACCCCTCATTACATTAATTAAGCACACTATTACAACCCCTCGTTACATTAATTAAGCACATTATTACAACCCCTCGTTACATTAATTAAGCACACTATTACAACCCCTCGTTACATTAATTAAACACATTATTACAACCCCTCGTTACATTAATTAAGCACACTATTACAACCCCTCGTTACATTAATTAAGCACATTATTACAACCCCTCGTTACATTAATTAAGCACATTATTACAACCCCTCGTTACATTAATTAAGCACATTATTACAACCCCTCGTTACATTAATTAAGCAAATTAATTACATGCCGCGTGCTGATACCTGCTCGCATCCTTCTTGCCCTGCTTGGAGAAGAGACGTTCCCGCACCCGGCGCTTCTCCTCCTCCATGCACTTCCTGCGATCGCACGCGGCAAAGTTGATGAGTCCGAGCGTATCGTACACAAGACCATCCTTGATCTCCTTGTCGAGTTCCGAATCCGTCGTGAAGCTGGGAGAGTGGTTCACCTGAAAGCGAGAATGCTGATCTTTCACTGCGACCTAAGTCGTCGTTGTGAAACTATAACAATCCAGAATTGCATGCCATGTCACCGGGATTGCGGGATCCAATCAGATCTTAATGGCCTCAACATCCGTGAAATGTTTGTGCCAACAACTGCAGTGCTCCAAAGTCATCGGACTTCGAGAACAAACAGGATTTTGGTATAGGCATGCTTTGTGACGTTCGTGAAATAACTTGACAGAAATCGTGAATGTTTTCAGCAATGTTTTGAGTGAAAACGTCTATACAGAGTGGTACGTAGCTATTGAGACCAGCCACAAGCAGATGCCCATTGATTAGAAATCCATAAACACAAATACGATAGTCTTCTCCAAAGTTATGGATTAATTTATGACATTTAAGTTTTTGAATGGAACGTGCAGACATTTAAAGAAGAAATATTATTACAGTGGCAGGGTGCGAAATTAACGCGAGTCCGGAGTCAAATACTCTCTGATTTACTGTCGGACTCCCTGATTTGACGTATGCAGGAGTCCGTGTGACTCACTGAAAATTCTGCCATACTATACTTAGCTAGTTCGTTCCAGAGCACGGCCTTGTGGAAATACCGTATTTTTTCAGCTAATATCCAAAGAAAATTTGACAGACATGCAACCGCCTGATAAGCACACGCGTTATTGTTAATATCTTTAATTTTGAACGTCAGACTGCGAACTCCTTGACTTTGCTGCGGACTCCCTCTTTTTGAGGGTAGAGAGTACGTTGGACTCCCGTGTTCAAAAGTAAATTTCTACCCCTGCAGTGGCGCTCTCACCTCCAGCAGGTAAGGCCGCAGCTTGTGGTCGAGCAGGATGTCGAAGCCGAGCACCTCGAAGCAGGCGCTGCCGCGGTTGTGGTTGGGAAAGCACGTGCGGTAGTTGTGCTTCAGCGTAGGATACGCCGCGACCAGCGTCTTGATGATGACATCGTCGATGTCGGCCCACACGCGACCGCAGTCGTAGCCGTGCTGCGCCCACCAGCGGTTGATCGTCGAGATTTTTCTGAAACGCAACCACTATTTTTTAGTATTCCGTCGTTCGACACGTTACACACGACGAGAAAAAATGCAGTGTAGGCCTATTGTGTGTGTGTGTGTGCGTGTGCGTTTGTGTGTGTGTTTGTGTGTGCGTGTGCGTTTGTGTGTGTGTTTGTGTGTGTGTGAAACCAAAATCAATAAATACAAAACGAATGAGCGGTCACGCCGTCACGGGTTAATTGCGGGTACCACAGAACAGCAGTCTAAAGCCTGGCGCACATTGCCGAACATTTTCCCGAACAAATGTTCGTCCGAACAAATGTTTTTGTCTGGCAATGTGCGGGTGAACAATTACTGAGCGCACATTGCCGAACATTTTGCAGCGAACAACCTCGTGGCGCCGTCTAATAGCTGTGTCGTAAAGAGTCACGTGATCGGCACATGATTGGGCACAAAAATCATGTGACCACATATCGTGCTGCTATTGGTTACTACTTTACAAATGTTCCTATAATTGTTCGACATTCAGCGCACATTGACGAACATTCGACCTACAATGTTCGAGATATCAAACATTTCGGATCTTCAGAAACATTGTTCGGAACAAATGTTCGGCGATTTTTTTCACCGCACATTGCCGAACATTTCATGGAACATTGCTACGATAATGTTTTTGAGCAAAATGTTCGGCAATGTGCGCCGGGCTTAACTAGTTACCCCGTAGGCTGAATACGGTGTATAGCGTGTTTAATGTGAACATTGTTACTGTGGGGTACCTTCTCCTTACCATGTAATGGTATTTGAATTTAACTAATACATGCACCGCAGTTTTAGACAGTTTATAATATAACGCGAGGGCCTGTTACTTCTGTAGGCAACAGATAGAGGAGCTACGACTGAAGCATAGCGATTTTTAGCATTTAGCATTAGAACAGGGTATTGTGTGTTCGTGCGTGCGTGCATGCGTGCGTGCACGTGGGGAGAGGGAGATGTGACTAGCATGCATGGTGCTGCTGGGTAGTGATGATTGCTATTCCATGGTTCATACAGGACTGAAATTTTTTCAAAGGACTTTTCAAGGACATTTTATTGAAAATTCAAGGACACTTTATCAGAATTCATACACAGAACAAAACATACCTGGATTAATTTAATAACCCCATTCTTAATCACTGCATGTCACCTCTAAAACTTACCTGGATCACATTAATAAACCCTTCTAAACACTGTCACTTCTACAACATACCTTGATTTACTGACTGATTTTACTGACTTACTGTAATTTGTGATCAATCATTTAACTGTCTATCGTGTCTATAGATTTTTAAGCTCATTTAACACAATTTTTATTGAGGTTTCCACATTATTGATGGTACAAAATTTCTTTCTATTACAGGCAAAAATTCTTTCTAAAAATTCAAGGACATTTTCATGAAATTCAAGCACTTTTCAAGCACAAAATCAACATTTACTAAATTCAAGTACTTTTCAAGGACTCCCCTCGAATTCAAGGATTTTTCAAGGACTGTGCGAACCATGTATTCATGGATAACTTTCTGGAACATCGTACCCCACGATGATTGTACTGTATTGATACAACAGTCACAGCAAACATGTCTGTTATAGAAAAAACGTGATGGTTTTTCAAATATCACGTTCACTACAAATTTCCCATTAGCTGATTCGGTGACTGTATTGTGCTATAGAATTTATGTATACATGCACGTATGCATCATAACAATTTTACCTACAAGGTAGCACCGAGAACATTCGATGTGATTGCAGGAATGTTGCGTATTAACTATTTATTTAATGTTGACCACCAAAACTAATATCATAATGGATTCAATGATAAAGTTTCACCTAATCTATTAATGCCGTTTTTTGTAAGGCATGGGGGTTCCAGTGCTGTCATCATGGTATGCCACTGTAATTTACAATCAGTAAAAAGTACAATCCGTTTTAAATCAGTAGCACTAACTTGATTGCATTGCCGCCTATGCACAGAATAAAAATCTACCTTTTGCTTCCAGCTTCATCATCTCGGACGAAGTCTGCACTGTTCTTGTTGATGGCATAGTTTGTCAAGTGCATGTAGACATTCTCCTAGAATACGAGAAGTATCTTAGAACTACGCAAACGTAACTTTACTCCACTTCACGCATAATAACACAAGTGCCACAGAGCGACAGCGCTCAACTGACGTGTACTGTAGCCGGGTATTCTTCTGATAAACTCACTGGCAACCGAATCAAGTGCGCCCTCCCGCCACCGCGTTCGCGCTCAGAGCATATATCTAGGATACTACTAATACAGATCTAAAATCTATGATAGGCTTTGCTATATCGGTAGTACAGTAATAACAAGTGCCGCAGAGCGACAGCGCTCACTTGACGGCAGGTGTTCCGATGCTAAACTCACTGGCAAACGAATGAAGAGCACCCTCCCATCACCGCGTTCGCGCTCAGAGCATATATCTAGGATACTACTAATACAGATCTAAAATCTATGATAGCTATAGGCTTTGCTATACCGGTAGTACAGTAATAAAAAAGATACAGCTGTGTAACTTTAATGACTTCGCTATATTAACATGTTATCATGGATATGCGTCGAGCGCGAGCGTAGTGGTGGTAGTGGGGAGAGGAGCG